GAAGAACATTTGAATCTTAAATGTGGAAAATTGCGATTTCAACCTACTACAGATCGTATTTGCTCATTTTTTATCGCAGTGCCAATGATTCGACAAAGCCGTGTCATTTGGCAGCTAAAAAGCCTGATATATTCTAGCCTCCTTCGCTGCAGGCATCTGCGTAGGCGGCTAGATATTAGCGACCTTAAAGCAAACAGGACGGCAACGCGACGAAGACGGCTATTCACACAATGCTATTCGTGATCTCGTACAAAAGAAATTAATAATTAAAAGCCCACGGGTTTCAGAGACTTTGTGTCAGGGCTTTTTACAACGGCAAAACAGAGATTTTCACGTCTCGTGTACAACGCAAACATGTCAAGACGCGACAAGTGAAACTACAAATTTGTTCGCAGAAGCGTGTTTAACTGTAAAACATTTGTTTTAGTCTCATCAAACTGAACTCAATTCATATACACATGCTGAGTGGGTAATACACAACAACTCTTCTTCGCAATAAATTATTTGAAGATGTTTGTTTTGGCGCCATGTCGTCGTCGCGTTGCCGTCGTACATGCTTGAAGGCAATGTTACACGGTGCAATTTTTCTTGCAACTTGCAATGCAATTCTACTCTTGAGAGATGTTAATTAGTGAAATCAGTGAAGAATTTTCGATATGTTGAGAAAACATCAGCGGAGTGCAACGAACACTCGTATTTGGCAATTTTACATCTCTCAAGAGTAGAATTGCATTGCAAGTTGCAAGAAAAATTGCTGACCGTGTAACATGGCCTTAATTAAGGTCCCTATATTTATAAGTCGATGCCTGGAGCGAGGCTACATATATTTATAAATACGAAAAACAGAAGACCTTTAAATGTAATAATTGTTATAAAGCATGATAACCTATCAAAGTTCGATTGCCTTTTTCTTTTAACTCGCTATTTCAGATCGACTTTTATTTGCGTCTGTCTTGAAGCCGGTTACTTCCGAATACCCATATAATAATCTCTGGAACAGGAGCGCAACTTGGGTCTCAAGATTGGGGGGGGGGGGGGGGGGGGACTCATTTTGTCCGACAAAAGGGCGTGGTCAAAAATGCCACACACACACTAAGTATATATTTTATATATTACTCATAAATAAAAGTACTATTCGCAATGAGATAAAATAGAAAATTTGTCCCAGATAAACAATCGTTGGAAATGGCATTTTCAGACTGTCTTCTATACTGACATTATACCGCTCTTTTAACTATGATTATACACACAAGTTTGGTAGCTTTTACTAGATTAAACAAAACTATATTGTTGAATCACCCATGAGGTTGCATGTAGCCAGTGCCCAGTGGGGCCTAAATTACTTTGAATTTGCACTCGAGTAAACTCAGAAGTAATCAACAATAAAACGACTTGAGTAAGAGTGAAAAGTACTGGAGGCAAAACGTACTGAAGTAAAAAGTACAAAGTATCCTTAAAAAATACTTGAAGTAAAAAGTAAAAGTACTATTGTCTGTAGCGTGTAGGGGGGGGGACTTCTCCATTGATGGATTGAGATACAAAAACACAAAACAGCACACGCATTATAAATATACAATATTTCACGGCATGGTCTACTTTCCAGACCCCATTGACGATATAAGAAATCCATTAAATAAATAATGCTTATAAATGATGCCACCAACGAGAGACCAGACGCATTAGGTAATCCCAAAATTAAAATAAATCAGGAATAAATTACGTAAAATTAAACAAAAGTTAGAAAGTAACATAATACTTCGCCATGCACAAAATGAAAATAACGAAGTAAAACGTTACTTCTTAAAACGACTTCGTTCCAAGTAAAAGTACTCCAGAAAAAGTTTACTTTGTTACATGCTGACTTCTCAAAAATAGTACTCAAGTACAATAACGAAGTACATTTACTTCGTTACTTGACACTACTGCATGTAGCGTTGTTTTGATTGTCTATTTTTGTCTTAATATAGCGCGAATTTTTCAGAAGGAAAAAAAGTTTTATGTAATTTGACGCAAATGAAATCACTCTTTAATAGTTAATTTAAAATGTGCAACAAAGCCGACATATTTGAGAACCAGTTGTGTTATTTTCGACATCCACGAGAATCCGTGACATATCAACAAGCCGTGAGCTCACCGTGAGGTTTTAGTAGAATCCGTGATGATCACGGTGGATCCGTGAGAGTTGGCAACTATGTCCAGGGGCGAAACTAATCCCTTTTAATTCGGGGGTGGGGGGTGTCTGCCAGAATTGCCCTGCCAAAACCTATGGTGCCCTGCAGCAAATTGTTTTTCCGGACATTAATTAAATAAAAGGGTCGAAAAATTTTTCCGGACATAAACCAGTTAAATTAAGGGTCAAAAAATTTTTTCCGTACAAATTCCTGTTAAAACATGGGTGAAACCCTTATTTTTGGACCAATATCTGTACAATTTAGGTCTATAAATTCTATTCAATTCCCTCTTAAAGCCCTGTAAGCAGGGACGCCGGAACTGGGGGGGAGGAGGGGCAGCCGCCCCCGTCGCCCTTTGCCAGGAGGGGCAAGGAGGGCAAAGGTGCCCTTTCAATTTAAAGGATTGCGCGCCTTGGCGAAATAGCGAATTGTCAGAAATGTTAGTGCAATTATTTTACGAATTTGCTTCAGAAAACGCAAGAAATGCAGTCATCGAGCTTCAAGAATATCGCAATCGCCTGGCGGAGAACCCCCTCACACCCCTATCATCCAATAAATAGAAAACATGATTAGGCGAAGTTCAACTCCCGATGTTTTGCAAACATCTCTTAGTATATATCAATTCAAAAGTGCCCTTTCACGAAAATCTGCCCCCCTTGCCTTCACATCGTTCCGACGTCCCTGCCTGTAAGTTACTTAATAACTCTACATTCTATCATTTAAAATCTTTTGATTGCCCTGCCAACCCAGATGATTCGCCTGCCAATCCAGATGATTCGTATTGGGGGGGGGGTCACACCCCCCCCCCCATACCCCCCTCAAGTTTTGCCCCTGACTATGTCTACTTATTTCGGTTCCTCGCACGTCAAGAATTAGGAACCGATTAAAGTGGAGTCGTGTCGGTGTGGGCCTAACAAAAAACGGTACTGTAACAGTCAGTTCGAGATCGATAGACCATAATATTTGCAAGCGTTCATCGTGTAACTTAATAGTAAAGGAATTGACCATAAACTGTTGAAAATATACAATAGAAAGTGACAAAGTGTAATTCACATTCGACCACTGCAAATGGCAGTACTTCATTTTGTTAACTTTTATATTGCTTTTATACGTCGTATTTTTTACGTTTAAAAATTAACTTCCCAAAATTTTAAATTCTTTTCAAAACACCTGTTTGTTTTTCGCCCGACGAATTACTGAGTTTTGCCCGACAGAACTATCGATTTTAAACTTTGTTGGGGG